GCATAACTGGGACACCATTTACTCCATCTTTACCGTACTCCGTTCGACATCATACTGTGGGGCAGTTAGCTAGGAGTAATCTTGGTGTGCTGGAATTGCGCGTTACGACTTTACACTGGACGAGGGGATTTTACAAAAACTACATATGCGGTCTCTTGCTCGGAGCGATTATTATATTTCGGCTTGTTTGATCCATGTAGTACGAATCTTTGCGATGTCTTTCTTCTTCTCTCCTCCACATGTTAGCTAAGCGCATGAGTCTCGTCCATAAGTACTTGTTTGATGTTTGCACGTGATCGGTTTCTCAGTCCGAATAAGGCGGTGGGTAGAAATGTCAACAAATGAGTCGTCTAGGCAGGTAGATTACCAGTGACAGTTAAGTGAGTCTACTATCTTACCAGGTACATATGAGTCATTGATGAGTACCTCCTTATCATCTACATGGGGCACTGCTTCAAAAGGCGGCTTACTGTCTATGCTCTGCTCCGTTGCTATGTTTCATGTCATTTCCGTTCCGATTTGAAGTGATTCATTAATCTTTATAGTTATGAATCATACAGATATGCCACCGAGCAAAATAATGTTTGTTGTAATTTAGAAATAATCGGAAATTGATGAGCTGATTGGCAGATTTAGGCGGTAAAGGAGAATGGTGCTTGACGTATTTATGTTTTTCTATTCTCCTGTCATTTCTCATGTTTCCTTGTGATTACCAGCCCTTCATCAAGCGCCGGGAATGAAAAAAAAAACATTTGTGACTCCATAGAGGCTTTGTGACTTTGGGACACTCTTTTATGTTGAATGACGGTACAGCTGGTATAAAGTAGCGCATCGGTAAGAAGTAACAGAATTTGCGAAATATAAAGGCTCTTGGAACTCGTCAGAACGAAGGGTTGTACAGGTTCATGACGACCGAAAGGGTGTTTGGGTATATTTCAGTCGCGTGCACTTGCCTAAAGATTTGATTATAGTTTCCTTTTGTCGAAACATACTTCACAACACGGAGTGGCTCGGACTACCAGCTTCTTAAATGTTCAATATCTATGCTCCATTATGAATGCTGCAGCTTCTAGAAGGTCGATGAAACACGTCCGCTTTTGGCGGTGGGCGCATATGAATTCCGATGACGTTGAGCCCTATCACCCTTGCCTAAACTGTTTTTCCACCTGACAACCTCATCTAGCATATTTGGTGGTCAGACGCTCCATCGAAAATAAGGTCCCAGTAGTCAATATCCGAAACCATTCTTATGCTGGGCTGGACCCTCACATAAAAAAATTCCTGTGCACTACTCTGCATTTCGTATATTCAACTTTCAATGAATCGGCATCACATGATATCGAATAGGTGTCATCGTTGATGTTTGATATGTTGTTTGATTTTCCAAGATCTGTCGAAGCAATAAAACCGAATAGCTAGTCAGGTAGACTGTTTACACCAGTTCGATCGCCGCTTTAAAAACACTTAGATGAGGTTGGGAGATTGACAAAGGGGGTTTGTTGAAAAGGACTCCGGAGTTGGGATCGCACGGGGAGGGAAAATGAGGGCTGTTTCTGTGGCAGGATAAGGCCACGTGGTTACTCTGAATTGTACACGATTCTTTAAATGATGATTAGATCTTGATCTCGTTTAGTACAACGGCGAGTTAATGAAGCCTTTGCAGGACCCTTTTGTTTATTAACATGTTGTCTTGTTGTACAAAAGAATAGCCAGAGTTTGAAAGGTCACTTCTTTCAGGTGTGTTACTTAACGCCATTTGACATTTCCATCCCGTCTATTTCTCTCATCGAATTATCCTTACTTCAGCCACTTTTTATCACTTTTCTCACTAGCCCCTGACCAGTGATAATCTTTTGAAAAATGTGTAGATGGCGGTGGTTTAGCGGACCCTGTGACGGTGTGGGAACAACGCTAGGGAGAAGAAGTTTAGACAGTGGTTCTCCTGGCTAACCGGAAACGGATCATCGTCAATTTTAATTCAAATGTTTTACAACCATCTTCTTGTTTTACACATGTTTGTGGTTCTAGATGTCTCTCTAATTTGATCTGTTCCACCTTTTTCATTGGTAACGGCCTGAGAACTCTCGAAGCAGTGAAGATAAACTCTCTTCGCAACTTATATGTAATATCCGAGCTACGCCGACACTTTTGCATTTATATATCCAGAAAAGCCGTTGAAAAGAAGAATTCGTCCCTTGATTTGGATTACCTTCCCTTGCGACTTGCTGCTTGCTGCAAATGCAGTGAGAAGGATCGAGTGACTTTGAAGTGTTTTGCAAACTCCAATCGTCGACTACATCCCGTAGAGGGCTTTAGTAGTACTTGCGTAAGATTTCAATTTGCTCAATTCTATTGAAGAAAGTGTTGAGGGGGTGAGCACATGACCAAGAAAAAGTTGGGGGTCAACAACTCTGAGTTTCATGAACACTCCTCATTTTATTTGATTCCTTTGAAGGAAAATCGGTTGAACTCCGTGAGTAATGTGAAATGTGTAGAGTGATTGATTATTTGTCAACAGAGACGGCTACTATGAATAGATGGTTCCGATTGGAATGACCACCACCTGAGTTTTAGACGAGTAAATAAGAAAAGGCGAAGGGATGCACTTTTGAGCTAGTACGTTATTGACTTTGATTTTTCATTGCGTCGATACCCATGGAATTCGAGCCTGTTTCCATGCTTCTCAGGATACCCCTATATCTCTTCGGTCAACGTACCCAAAAGTACTCCCGTTGACGTGGAAATTGGGCGGCTATCGACGAAAGCCCCTAATAAGGGGCTGGCATCTGACTAGAATATGTGGCCCATAGATTACTTATGTGAATTCACTACCTTTTGAAACTTCCAATGGAGGAAGGATATATGACGTACCTCTGATAAATCGTCTACTCTGAAGCTGATTCACCTCTTTATCTGCTGTGGATTCTTTTCAGCTGAGTACTAAAGTTTTCTAGCAGGGAAAAGCGCAGAACTACTGAGCTACTAAGATGGTCTTTCATGTAGATTGATTTGGAACTTTCAGTCAGACTTGCCCTTATGTTGTTTTGATTTTTTCTTTCTTTTTTCCTTTCCTTTCGAGCATAGCCAGCTGGAACAGGTTTTCAAAAAAAGAACAGCGGTTCCATTTTACCAGAAACGTTTTGATGGTTTCATCGTAATCGATGTAACGATCTTCAGTTGATTTTCGCAGTTCCACTATGGAA